GTCGCCGCCGCCCCCATCGCCTCCGCCTACTCCAGCGGCATCGTGAGGTCCGGCCCCGTCGCCTACTCCTCGCCCCTCATCCTCGGTTAAACGCAACCCTCTAGTCTCGACCAATAAACAGTTTTATTTATCATGAAATATTTCTTGTTTCTTGAAAACACCAACATTCCTGTGCCCTACCCACTTTCGGGAAACACTATAGGGAAAAAGTAACACTTCAGCTATCAAATAAATAATGCGTTTTTATTGCATTGAATCACACAAGTCATAAGAATGACAAGGCAGCCTATTTTTTCTGTGCACGATTAGAGAACACGTAGTCTCTTACATATCCACTCAGGTCCAAATCGGAAACCCTTTACATTCTTTTAGAACCATCACAACGTGCTCTCTAATCGTGCCTGTTTGGGAGGCGGTACATTTCAAGCAGAAATGCAAAACAATTTTATTCTGCGAAACGAGCGCTTTCCTTTCCTTGCGGGTGCTCTTGTGTGTTTGTACTTCACAGGAGAGATCACCTTCCACAAACGCCTTCCCTAGTAGATCTGCCTATTCAGACGTAGACGAGGGAGGCGTGGTGCGGGGCGTAGGCGTAGGGGTAGACTCCCGCCGAGGAGACGGCCGGGTAGCTGCTGTAGGCGCTGTAGGCGCTGTAGGCGTAGGGGCTGTAGGCCGACTTCACCACGGGGTAGCTGCTGTAGGCGAGCGGCGCGGCTGCGTAGGACGAGGCGGCGTAGGGCGAGACGGCGTAGGGCGCGGCGGCGTAGGGCGACACGTACGAGGGCACGTACGACGGCGCCGCGGCCACCAGGGCCAGCGTGGCGAGGACGGCGACCTGGGCACACAAAAAAAACAAAAACGCGCGTTAAATTTTGCAATAATAAACTGTGTGCACCGCACTGCCGGCGTAGCGTTAAGTCGTGGTCTTCTCGGAATCGTTGTTTTTCTCATTTTCCCGCTTCCCCATCCGCGCCCTCGCCTCCTCCTACACATGACCGATCATACATCATACCCGGCCGTCTCGCCGGCGCCGGTCCGCCTGGGCGGGGAAAGGAAACTTTATTCCGCCTGGGCGGGGCCAGGTTCGGTCCTGGAGATCCACGCGCTGGCCTTGCCTGCCCTGCCTGCCGGTGCCTGATGCTGGAGCCGGTGCACGCCCGTAGGTCCCCCGCCCCCCCCGCGGCACCGCGCCCGTGACGTCGAGGAGCAAGTTCTGGGAGCGCAGCAGAGCCCTATTCCTATTGTCTGACGTCAACAGCCAAACTATGAAGCAGGAACACGCTGCTCACCCCCTCCCCCTTCCCACACACACACACAGATCAGTAGTTTATCACCGAACTAGAATAGTGTCGGAATAGTTTTTATCAAACGCGTCACACTTAAAATCACACTAAAACATCGTCGCTGACCGTCCCCCAATGAAAGCCTGCCGCTCGCTACCACAGTCGGCGCGCCCGCCAGATACTGGACCGGTTTGAGCCCAAGTTCAAGTTCACGTTCGAGGGCGCCGCGCCGATGCCCGTGGTTGCCTCATCGCGGAGCACCAACAGCGCTACCCGGCGCCCCAGCTGGGTGGCGATCCTGGCCGACCGACCACGGACCTTCGGCACTGCGACTGAACGCAGGAGATTTGAACGCAGGGCGCTCACGTGACTCGGACTTACGATTCTGCAGATCATGGTGGTGCGGGGCTAGCGGGTTGTTGCTGCGCGGACTGAAGTGGCGGCCGGACTGTGGCGGTTTGGCACGCCGAGGGCCTTTTATAAGGACGCGAAGGGCCGGCGCCGGGCAACGGCAGGGCGGCAGGGCGGCCGGGCCAGAAGTACCGTACGGCAGCAGCACAGCTGCAGCTGCAGCTGCGGCGGCCGCACAGCCGCGCCGGCGGCCGTCCCGCGGAGGAGCGGGGGAGAAGGAGGTCCTGCAGGGCCTGCCGCCTGCCGGCCTGCCGCCGCTGCAGCAGCAGCCCGCCGCCCAAAGGCTTTGCGGACCACAACAACACGGCGGTAATGATTCAGGCTCACGACAGGAAGAAAAGCGCGCGGCTTTGCGGCGCGTACGATCGTTTGCTGCTCTCTTTTTTATTTGCGCTAAATTCTGAAAGCAGCCTATGTTTGTCTCTCTACCGCTGATTGAACACAAAGGCGGTGCAGTTTGGCCCTCCGGGGCCAACGGCCGCGCTGAGTGCAGCGGGCGGCGGGAGGCTGCAGTCGCGGCGGGGTCGTTCACCCGCGGGAGGAGGACGGGACCACACCGTGGACGGGACGGACCGCGACCGCGCAGCGCGAGGCTGCCCTGGAGACATACGCCCTCGCGCCGCGCCGTTCAAAGGACGCTCGGTACCGCGACCGCGCCTGTCCGGTCCGGCACCGAGGCAGGGCTTTGTTATTGTTTTGGACCGCGCATGCGGCTGGGCTAATCGTTGCCATCACCCGTCGTTCCCCTTCCAGGTTCCCCCTCCAGCAGGACGCCCGCGCCCCGCCCAGCTCCCCCGCGCCCGCGGTTCTTCCTGCAGTTTTGACGCGCGTGTTGCGATTCTGCTTGTATATATAAGGCTGCGGGTTTGGGCAGTCATCAATCCGTCTCCTGTCCGCAAGAGAAGTAACTCCTTCGCCATGTACAAGCTGGTGAGTGTCCCGCCATAGGTCTCGGTATCCAAGCCGCTCTCGCTCTCATGTCGTGTCGCTAACGCCTCGCTCTGTTCTCCTCC